CTTTTTAACGATTGTGGTATTCCTTGAAGAAAGTGTTGGTAGTGCAAAGTTTCCTGCACAAGGTGGTGAACCATTTGATTGAAAAGCATGCAATACAAAGAAGCATTACTATAAAGTTCAACCCTTGGGTGGATGATAATAGTTTTTGGAAGAAACTGGTCATGGTTGTATGTATGCAATATGCCCTTCCATATGAATGAAACATCTGAACAGAACAGACAACATGATTTTAAACAACAAGCAAAGTCTTTCTTCAAAAAAATGTCATGCAAGAAACATGAGAGGAAGGCTAAGCTTCATTGAAGGATGCATTCAGAGACAAAACACTGAAAAAACGTAAATACTGAAAAAAAAACTGAGAAACCTATACCCCACAGAACTACGCCTGGCTCTGGGCATGGTTTCCTAGACCTAGCTATTATGTATATATTACGTATACATATATAAAACATGTATTTATGGCACCCTTTCTGTTTCCAATCTTCCTTCCAAAAATAGGTTTTGGGGGGTGGTACCATGTATATGTACATTATATAGATACATACATCTCTGTGTGTGTACATACTCCGTATTTCAGTCCAAGTAAGTTACCTAATTTGATGCAGATGTGAACAGTGGTATATCAGGCCAAGTAAGGGTGTCAAAAAAAACACGACAAACAGTACTGTGACTATGACTATATGCAGCACATGCATTGAACAGAAACAAAATCAAACCAGATCTTGATTGAGTTACACTCTGTGCTGCAACCGCGCACCGCATGACCTCGTATTCGTACATACGAAACTCGGTTCCATAAACAAAGACTTACTTGCGTACATAGAAATCTGCCGAATACCTTCTTTTTAGGGCAAGTCATCACAACTGCATTGAAATCCTGACATTGTCAACGTAGAAAGTTCTCCCCCAAGAGACACCGGTGACTTTTTCGGACCGGAGTTCTGGCGTCCAAGTTTCTGCACCAACAGTGCGACGTCCGCATCCGCACGGTGGTGCTCATACTCCTAAAACTCGTGAACCATGCAATCACAAGCTAAAGACGTTTCAGGATTGTGGCTATCCCAAATCAAACCGGGCCTTGAAAATAACGGTATGAAGAAAACTCTATCTATCTATCTATCCATCCATCCATCCATCCATCTATCTACAAATATATGTATTTATACACATAGATATATATATTATATATATATACATCATATAATCATATAATCATATAATATGAAAAAACATCGGCGGGCAGACATAGGCTTGGAACATGAATTCAACACTTCACGCGCACAGGAAACTGGAATCCTTCGGGTCACAAGTCAAATTCGTACACCCGCTGCTTTGATCCGATGCCACGGATGCCTGAGAACTCATCCACATACCTGTGGCAGCTGTGTCGGTTTTTGTTGCATTGTTATTTCCTGTTTCATTGATTGTCATTGATTGTCATTGATTGTCATGAATTCTAATTGTCATTGATTCATTGATATTTGTTGTTTGATGAAACAGAAAACTGAATTATAATAATCATATGTATATGTATATTTTTTTAACAAGGTGGTCCATTTGGCATGAATGACATGTTGGCGGGTGAAAGATGGATCAAATGTGAGAGTAAAACACAATGAAACACAATGAAACACATGTTTCTGTATGATTGTTTCATGGTCTATCATCATTTTAGTCTGCACGACACTGGTTGGTGTATTTCGCATTTTTGAACAAACCCAAATTTGATTCACGAAATCACGTTCTTGTCACTAGGAAAATTGCCATCCAACGACGATTCAGTGGGAATGAGACCGGATGGCCATTACCCAACACATTCCAGTCTTGGTCCCAGGTGCAAACAATCCAAAAGGCAACCACAAACGCCATGATGTTCAAAAGCTCTGCGAGAGGGGTTCCACGACAGGTTTGGGGAGAAAGAGCGCTGTCTTGAGCCAAGAGCTCCGAAAGCAACCTTGGTAGGGGCATCAACAATTTCCACAGTCAAATTCCAAAATTCTAAGCGCTCCCTCACAACATTCGGCCGGGGAAAAAACACATTGTATTTGATTTGATCCACCCAAAATTTCAACTTGTGCTTACGTGGTGGTTTGGGTTGGTGGTTTGGAAGTCTGGGAATTGATGGTTTTGTAATCAAACCCTGCAAACAATGAAATAGTTGAAAATAAAGAAAACAAATTTAAAACAACAATGATTGCTACCAGATTAGGTTTGTTTTTGAATTGATGTTCATCTTGTATCTCGGAAAATGTACACTTATTTAATGTCCAATAATTTCACGTGATTGTTTAATTGATTATTGAATTCTAGTGCATTTTTCTGTACTTGTCTATTTATTTTTGAAATGGGGGAAGGACAGTTTCTTGAAACCGTGTGGTCCTATCCTGTACTCTGACTGATGCAGGTTTCATGGATTTTCCATGGAGCTTCCATGCAGGTTTCATGTTGGTTACATGCTGGGTTTGCAAATTTAGCTTACTGGTGGGTAACCTCCATGACAACTCCCTCGAACCTGCATGGAATCTGCATGGAACCTCCATGGAACCTGCATCAGTCAGAGTGCATGATAAAACCAACAAGTGTAGATAGAGGCATCACCTCCATAACGCACATGGAAACTGCATGAAATTCTACATCAATTCTCCATGGAACCTGCATGGAACCTCCATGAAAACTGCATCAGTTAGAAGGCGCCATGCAACCATCACGTTTAGACACAAGAAACAACGGAACCTACATGAAACCTCCATGAAACCTACATCAATTCTCCATGGAACCTGCGTGGATACTCCATCAAGGAAGACGCCATACAATCATCAGGTGTAGATACAGGAAACATGTTCGAGTTTTTTTTAATGGAAACTACATGGAAACCATCAGACGCTTTGATGCAAATCGATCGCAAATCGATCGTAACTAAATTGATCGCACAAAAACTGTTATAGCATCTGTGCGTTTTGATGTCGTTTTCACTAGGTCATCTGTCTTTGCTGATGTTTCTTTTGGTTTCTGTACTGGAAAAGTCAAATTCTTCCAGAATTTCTATTTATCCTGAGTGTTCGTTGCTTGGCGGTTTTGACGTTGGCAAGGCCAGGGTTTCAAGTGTGGACTTTGTAATGTGTCATTTTGATGTAGGATTTCGACGTTGTTTTGCGATCATTTTGCGATCCTTTGTCGATCGATTTGACATCGGCCTAAAAACGAATAAGAAGGCCATAAAACAACATCAATATGACATCGACAAGAACCTAAGGCCTGTAGAAAACGGCACTTGCCAATTCATATATTCATATGGTTTGGTGGTCATAGAATCCAAAATGACATAAGTGAGTTCATTTCTCTTGGTGGTTTCGTCTTGTAATTAACTTAGTTTGCAATATTATATGTTAGGAACCTCCATCAAGTTGACACCGAGACAGACATAAAACTCCATCAAAATGACATCAAACAAAAATTCACATTTGAAACCTTGCCAAAATCGAAACCACCAAGCAGTGAACACTCAGGATAAATAGAAACTCTGGAAGAAATTGACTTTTCCAGTGCAGAAACAAAAAGGGACATCAACAAAGACAGATGACCTAGTGAAAACGACATCAAAATGCACAGATGCTATGACAGTTTTTGTGCGTTTTTTTAACGATCAGTTTACGATCGATTTACGATCGATTTGCGATCAATTTGCGTCAAAGCGTCTGATGGTTTCCACGTAGTGTCCACTAAAAAAAAAGTCTCTGTTCCCTGTATCTACACCTGGTGCTTGTATGGCGCTTCTTTGATGGAGTATCCATGCAGGTTCCATGGAGAATTGATGTAGGTTTCATGGAGGTTTCATGTAGGTTCCGTTGTTTCTTGTGTCTAAACGTGATGGTTGCATGGCGCCTTCCAACTGATGCAGTTTTCATGGAGGTTCCATGCAGGTTCCATGGAGAATTGATGTAGATTTCATGCAGTTTCCATGTGCGTTATGGAGGTGATGCCTCTATCTACACTTGTTGGTTTTACCATGCACTCTGCCTGATGCAGGTTCCATGGAGGTTCCATGCAGATTCCATGCAGGTTCCAGGGAGCTGTCATGAAGGTTACACACCAGTAAGCTAAATCAGCAAACCCAGCATGTAACCAACATGAAACCTGCATGGAAACTGCATGGAAACTCCATGGAAACTCCATGAAACCTGCATCAGTCAGAGTACTGTACAGGATAGGACCGCAATGGAATTTGTTTCAAGAGAAACTGTTTTTTTCTCTGTTTTGCTTTCATGTAGATTATTTAGATAGAATAGATAGGTAAGGTCACTTGGATAGAGTAGGCATATTAGATAGATCAGATAGAAAAGGTAGACTAGGTGGATTAGATAGATTAGATAGATTAATAGACAGACTTGAAAGATTAGAGAGGTTGGATTAGATTAGCTTAGATTAGATAAGATCAGAGAAGATTAAACTAGTTTGATAGACAAATAGACAAACAAATAAATAGATAGTTTATGTAGATATATGAGATTGATAGATTGATAGATTGATAGTTAGATAGATATATAGACAGACAAACAAATAGATATATTGGATATGATATATTAGATAAGTAAATAGATAGACAGACAGACAAACAAACAAATGGACAGATACTTGGAAAGATAGATTAGATTAGATTAGATTAAGATTTAGATTTAGATTTAGGATTTAGATTTAGGATTTAGAATTAGGATTTAGAATTAGGATTTAGAATTAGGATTTAGAATTAGGATTTAGAATTAGGATTTAGAATTCGGATTTAGAATTCGGATTTAGAATTAGGATTTAGAATTAGGATTTAGCATTAGGATTTAGCATTAGGATTTAGAATTAGGATTTAGCATTAGGATTTAGCATTAGGATTTAGCATTAGGATTTAGCATTAGGATTTAGAATGAGGATTTAGCATTAGGATTTAGCATTAGGATTTAGAATTAGGATTTAGAATTAGGATTTAGAATGAGGATTTAGAATGAGGATTTAGCATTAGGATTTAGAATTAGGATTTAGAATTAGGATTTAGAATTAGGATTTAGAATTAGGATTTAGAATTAGGATTTAGAATTAGGGATTTATAGGATTTAGCATTAGGATTTAGAATTAGGATTTAAAATTAAGATTTAAAATTAAGATTTAGAACTAGGGTTTAGGATTAGGGATTAGGATTAGGGATTAGGATTAGGGATTGGGATTAGGGATTAGGATTAGGGATTAGGATTAGGGATTAGGATTAGGGATTAGAATAGGATTAGGGATTAGGATTAGGGATTAGAATTAGGGATTAGAATTAGGGATTAGAATTAGGGATTAGAATTAGGAGGATTAGGGATTAGGATTAGGGATTAGGATTAGGGATTAGGATTAGGGATTAGGATTTAGAATTAGGATTTAGAATTAGGATTTAGAATGAGGATTTAGGATTAGGATTTAGGATTAGGATTTAGAATTAGGATTTAGAATTAGGATTTAGAATTAGGATTTAGAATTAGGATTTGGAATTAGGATTTAGGATTAGGATTTAGAATTAGGATTTAGAATTAGGATTTAGAATTAGGATTTAGAATTAGGATTTAGAATTAGGATTTAGAATTAGGATTTAGAATTAGGATTTAGAATTAGGATTTAGAATTAGGATTTAGAATTAGGATTTAAAATTAGGATTTAGAACTAGGATTTAGGATTAGGGATTAGGATTAGGGATTAGGATTAGGGATTAGGATTAGGGATTAGGATTAGGGATTAGGATTAGGGATTAGAATTAGGGATTAGAATTAGGGATTAGAATTAGGGATTAGAATTAGGAGGATTAGAATTAGGAGGATTAGAATTAGGAGGATTAGGGATTAGGATTAGGGATTAGGATTAGGGATTAGGATTAGGGATTAGGATTAGGGATTAGGATTAGGGATTAGGGATTAGGGATTAGGATTAGGGATTAGGGATTAGGATTAGGGATTAGGATTAGGGATTAGGATTAGATTAGGATTAGATTAGATTAGATTAGTTAAACTTATTCTACACTCCACAAAGGCGCGTCGTTCTTTCCAAACAAATAAGTTTTCGGATGACTATAAACGAAACGCATAAAAGTGTAAACATCAAAAACATGAAATGTCTGACAAACGCTGTGCAGCAAACGGTGGCACACCTTTTTTAAACACTGGGGATGGCTTCAGCACCTTCCGCCCTTCAGGGCTTAGGGTGTGACCTTTTTCATGTGAAAAGACCTTAAAAAGCAAGGAAATTATTGAGGGTGGGAAAACAAAAGAAAAAGGGAGGGAAAGACGATAAATTTCCGTCAAAAAGAGGGCAAGTCCCTCCCACCCAACCCTTGATGGAAAAAACGTTTCGGAGGAAACATATAATCATCAGTTTCAAAAAACACATGTTTGGAAATCACTGTAAACGCGCACGAGCAAAACCAGAGTTTGACAAAAAGAAGTTCTTTAAAAATTGGTCAAACAGAGATTGTTCTCACAAAAAGGTTTTGCCCATGAAATTTGTTGCGTGTGCAAATAAGTTAAAGTTTCTCAAGAGAAACTCGCCACTTATTCTACACTCCACAAAGGCGCGTCGTTCTTTCCAAACAAATAAGTTTTCGGATGACTATAAACGAAACGCATAAAAGTGTAAGTGTAAACATCAAAAACATGAAATGTCTGACAAACGCTGTGCAGCAAACGGTGGCACACCTTTTTTAAACACTGGGGATGGCTTCAGCACCTTCCGCCCTTCGCCCCATGTCACAACTCAAGGTGCTTCATCACCAGCTCCCAGTTGATATTGGTTTTGGTGGCACCGAGCTCTAGCACTTCTTTGAAGTCTAACCTGCTGGGCCCATCGGCCGGGTTGCTGTAGCTAGGCACCCTCCCAAACCAGACTCTATGCTGCATGGCTGACTCCTGCTGAACAAACGCATGGATCATTTGAGCAGCTCTTTGAGTTTCGCCGTCACCTCTGATGTAAGCCATCCGAGGCGACTCATTGTCGATGTAATATACCACCTGCGCTTAGGTTTGTCCCCATAGTTCAGCTGCTATCAGAACCGGCAGGACTTCCAGTTCGTGAATCGGGTTCTGCGACCTCTCGAGTAGGTCATCCATGACCCTGTCGGGAACGTTGAACTCGCTCCCCAAAAAATTGTAGGCAGTTTCCATTGGGGTCATATATGACTCCACCGACTGATCCTTCACGAGCTGCAGGGTCGCATGCTCCGTCTGTAAATACCAACCAGGTCTGATTGAGTGAACCCTGGATTTTTAAAGGTCGCCCTTGCAGGACTCGTTGCTGCAGAAACTCCAGAGTGGTGCGCATGGAGGCGCTGAACTTGGAAACAGGCTCAGGACTATTGCAAAGGCGTCCCAAAGCCTTAACCGCAGAATTGGCCACACGGCCGAAAGCATATCCTTCGAAAAAGATCATCCTGCCCCTCATTCGCTCTGCGTCCTTGGAAGTCATTGTGTTGGCTTCCAAGGCAGCTGCCAGCTGACCATGCAACTCCTCCCTGCGGCTTTCGGTGTGTCCAACAAGCACGAAGCCCTGCTGGAAGGATCCAGTGTTGACTTCCAATCCAAGCGTCTTGAATTTGTCATCGAAAGGTTTGCATTTGTGGCCTTCTGTCGCGTAGGCCAGTCCAAGCAGATTGAACAAGGCTTCGCACGCCCAGCTGCTGCTGCTTTCCAACTCGCACCGAGAGAGCAAGGTATAGTCATCATAGAAAGCACTCCAAAGCAGCCCTAGGCCAAAGTATCCCAAGAACCAAACTGCTTGGCTGACACGCAAAAAACCTGCCACTGAACCCACCGCCCCGAAAGGCAAAGAATTGAAACCAATGATTGCACACTGCTCTCTGCCGGGCACATTGACGCCCATACGTAGAGCAGCACGATCGTCGGAGTGCACTGCAAATTGCTTGTAGGCAGAGCGCAAGTCATACGTCCTGCCTCTCAGCTTTGGTCGCCCATCTGACGGGCAAAACTTCAAAGCAAAGCCCACCATAGCTGCCAGAAAATCAACTGAATTTATTCTACACTCCACAACTACGCGCGTTGTTTTTCGGAAAACCAAAAAAAATTAAAACGCAAATAAAGTTGACATCACAACGATAATGACAGCGACATGTGTAAATCCGAGTCAACGCAGAAGCACCTGTTTTACACCGGGGAAAGTTTCTGCACCTTCCGAGATCCAGGGCTCGGGGTGTGGCTCCTTTTAAGAACCAATTTTTACGTGGGTGGGAAAAATTTTGCCGTGGAGGACAAAATGGGAGGGAAAGACGGAAAAAATCCATCAGAGGGTAATCCCTCCCTCCACACCCTTGAAAGGAAATGTTTCAGATGAAACAAATAATTACTGGATTCCCAAAAAACAAATAACGCGCAGCAAAAACAAGTTGGTTTGTTGACATCCGTTTTAAAAACCAAACCAGGAACTGTTTTTGCAAAACGTTGTTGCGTGTGCAAATAAGGAAAAGTTTCTCAAAGAGAAACTCACATCTTATTCTACACTCCACAACTACGCGCGTTGTTTTTCGGAAAACCAAAAAAATTAAAACGCAAATAAAGTTGACATCACAACGATAATGACAGCGACATGTGTAAATCCGAGTCAACGCAGAAGCACCTGTTTTACACCGGGGAAAGTTTCTGCACCTTCCGAGATCCGCCCCAGTTCAAAGTCCAAGGTGGCGTGGAACCTTCTCCCAATCAATGTTGGTTAGGGTCGCACCCTTCGCCAGGACCTGACTGAAATCAAGACGGCTTGGTGAATCTGCAGGGTTACTGTGACTCGGTACACGGCCAAACCAGACACGGTGTTGTTGTGCCGCTTCGTCTTCAACGAAAGATTGCACCAACAAGCTTGCACGAAGCGTTTCGCCAGTGCCCCGAATATAGGCCATTCTCGCTGACTCATTATCGATATAGTATACCACCTGTGAACAAGCATATAGGTGGCCCCAAGCAAGTGCTGCAATCACAGGAAGTACTTCAAGTTCATGAATTGGATTCTTTGATCGTTTGAACAAATCATCCATTATCGCCGTTGGCACAGCTTCACCAAAGTATCCAACGCAGGCTCCAGATGGGTCGTAAAGGACTCCACCAACCGACCCTTTCAATTCTTCCTGATTGCAAGCGCCGTCCGTGAAGACCAGCCAGGTGCTGTGCAAGTTTCGCTCTATTTTGAGCGGCCGACCCTCGCTTATTCTCTGCTGCAAAAACTCAAGGGCCCTGGTCATCTCAGCATCCAGAGGTTTGGGCTTGTTCGAGCTTCCACAGAAGCGTCCCAAAGACTTCGTGGATGAGTTAGCAACTCTTCCAAAGGTGAAACCTTCGAAGAAGATCATCCTGCCTCTGAGCTTCTCAGCGTCCTTAGGACTCAGCGCTCCTTCAGAGAGCACCTTTTTCAACTGAGAACCAATTTCTTCCTTTCTGCTTTCCGTGTGTCCCACAAAAGCTCGTCCCTCACGGAACTCAGACACATCCACTTCCAAGCCCAACGTACGAAACAAACCATCGAAAGGAAGGCACTTCTTTCCTTCGGTTGCATACCTCATGCCAAGCAGTGAAAACAAAGACTCGCAAGCCCAACTGCTGTTCTGCTCAAGCTCAACTCTTGTCAGCAAAGTGAAGTCATCATAAAAAGCGCTCCAAAGCAAGCCCAACCCAAAGTAGCCGACATACCATAATGCCTGGCTCACTCGAAGGAAACCAGCCACTGACCCCACAGCCCCGAAGGGTAAAGAGTTGAAACCAATCACTGCATGAGCGGTCTGTCCTGGCACATTAACTCTCATCCTTAAAGTGTCTCGGTCGCCCAAGCTCACAGCAAATTGCTTGTATGCCGACTTCAAGTCGTATGTACGACCTTTCACAGCAGGCATCAGACCAGGAGCACAAGTGCGAAAAGCATGACCCATGATCGCAGCCAAAAAGTCAATGGCGTGGAGCTTGAACTTTTCATGCAACCCCACTGTGAGGTTTAAACCACAACATGTGCAGTCATCGATCACTCGCACCTTGGAACCTTGATGTATCCCAAAACGCCTTCCAAGAAACTTGTTGTCAAGGTCCTCTGAGTCGTCGATGAAAATCCAACCTTTGCGCAACTCTTCCTCTGTCTCTTGCCAGGTTTGCTCCTCCAGCTCTGCATCTTGTCGCTTGCGCAAAGCCTCCACATTCCTGGAGTTGAAGGATCTGCTGAGTTTGCGCAGTGTCTCCAAAGAAAAAGCAGGCCTCTTGGACCTTGCACGAAAAACATTTGACTTCGTCATGTAGCCACTCAGTTTGAAACCACTTGCGATGTCATCTATCAACTTGGTATCCGGATAGTTGAGGTCATCCAGAATTTCTTTGAAAAGAACCAAGCGCTTGTTGCCAAGAACATTTCTGACGTGTTCCGGCATCTTTTCTCTGAACTTTTCCTCCTCCAGTTTCAGGTCTTGGGCTCTCGCTGTCCACTTTTTCATGAACTCAACTCGCTTCTTGGCCAAACAAAAAGGTGGGTCAACCAGGTTTGCCTTCACTACTGAGGCCATGGCTGCATCCACATGGACATCCAACCCTCGTGGGTGCCCCGCTCTCAAAGCTCGCTGAACAAAATCGTCTGGATCGCTTGGCACACCTATCCAACACATTTCAACCATGGCGTCGTCTGGCAGCTCCTTTGAGTTGGCAAGAAAATGGTGAGAAACACCCTCACCCTCGACCCGAATTTCTCCCCTTGTCAGAAGCTGTCGAGAGGTGATTTTGCTCCCTTTGGGCTGCTGTTTCAAAAATTCTTCAACACAAAGTGACTGTTGTACAGGCGCAACAGCTGCTGTAAAGGAACCAAACTCTGCAACCAGCGGCTTAACTTTGGCACCTCGGGGCAGTGAACCAAGGGCAATGCGGCCAGCTGCATCGGCGTCTGGCTGCTGGAGTTGCTGCTCTAAGTTGTTGGACTGTATGGCCCCATACGATAGCACTTTGTGTTTGATGCAATCAATGATCCGCTCGCACAGCACAAAAGGGTACGCCGCCTCATCGGCCGTGGGAAAAGACACTGTGTTTCCAGAAACAGTGACTTTCCAAGACTTGTGTGGGTGTGATCCATCACACCTGGCATTTAAACTGTCAAGCCAGTCTGTAAGCACCCATACAGAGGTAAGCTTGTCACGTTCACCACCGTGACAGCAATTATGAAAACTGACAAATTTATCGCCAAACTCCCGCACAAGGTTCTGCATGGGCGTAGTAACCCAGTAGTGACTGTTGCCTGGATTTTCAATAGCAGTGAAAATCTGAGCCCTGCACGCAGTTTGTGCAATTTGTTCAACAGCATCGTACAACATGTTGGCCTTTTCGACCTTCAACTTGTTTGTACCATCCAGCCCGTCAATTTGGTCAGGTTGTGATTGGGACCTGAGAGGTATCGGCTCTGCAATCCCAAAACGTCTGAGCTGGGGTAACTTGCGTTCACGTGCACGACTGGCTGTCCCGCACGAAGGTGCTATCCAGACAGCTGCAACATTGTCTGCTTCCTCTTCTAAAAACTTGCACAACTCATCCACTTGAGTCTGATCCTCCAGCTCAAAAATGCAAATGTCAATGCCACACGATCGACTTGAAGAGTGATCTATGGCTAAACCATGAAACCCTGCTTCTCTTGCAACGGGGGTCAGCCTTGCACTGCCCGCACAAATTTCGACAATAAGGATGTCGTTGAGGAGCTTCCCAGCAAATTTGTTTCTCTGCTTGGCCTCAAAGTCGTTCGGTCCTGAATCTTCGACATGAACCGAAGGAGCATGTGAAACTTGTGGGGCAACTGGACCAATGTGTTGAACATTGTGGTCTCCTTTTCCACCCCGTTTCTTTCTAGCTGGTTGTTGGAGCCCAGCTGCACTAGGTGATACTGACTTCCGTTTACCACCTGGCTCCAAAATGGCGCCAGTGGCTTTGTTTTGTCAAGCCCCATCACTTTTCGCAAGCCCTCTGCACACCACCACTGAGTGTCCTGCTTTGTGGCAGTTTGCACAAACATGAAAACCTTTGACACATCGAGAGGGCTTTCCCGACGTAGCGTTCTTGCAGCCAGTCTTCAAATTGTAAGCCCAGCACACTGGACCGTGGTCGCAACGCAAGTTGAACTTCTTGAGCTCCTCTGGACATTGTTTCTCGGCTCTTGTCTTGCGCTTCTTTGTTGTGCTGCTTTTTGCAGATGCCTGCGTCGGTCCAGTCGCAGTTGGTCTCTTCGTGATGTTCTCCTTGTCTGTTGTTTTGGCCCCGGCAGGAGCAGGCAAAAGGAACATGGTAATGCGAGGATCTTGACAAAAGCGCTTGAAAAGGCCTTCCAGCGGAATCTCGCCGGCCGCATTCACTTTCAGTGTTCCCTTGTGCTCTTGTGCCAGCAAGGTCCACAACTCTCGATCTGCACGCACCAACTGGTCCATCCTCACTGGGTGGAAGTTTGGAGGAGCTTGTTGGCTAAGCGTTCGAAAAAGCTGTTGTACCCAGGCTTCGTGAGTGGCCCATGTCAGCAGTTGGCATTGATCCATTGCAATGCCTCGTCTCTGCAAGCACCATTGGAGTTTTATCTCACTTCCACAATCTGCTTTGAAATCTTCTGATATCTGGGCGATCTTGAGCTGCTGGTTCTCCACTTGCACTGAAGACGGCCGCTCCTTGATCGACAACTGAACTTCTTCCGACCTTTTGGTGCATCTCGATGGGGCTATCCAAACGATTGACCCCGTCTCCAACACATTGTTTGTAAGGTCAAGCAACTGGTGCGATGGTTCCAGCTCACCTGAGATGGCTATGCCCGCCAGTCTCTGTTCCTGCTGTTCAAGCCTATAGCGCTTTTCTGCGACAGGTATGCGCTTGACACTGTCAGGTCGATCTGAAGCCTCTCCATCAACTCTCTGCTTGACCGAGGCTATCATCAATGTAGTCGACTCAAAGTGGAGCCTCCGCAGCAATGAGGCCTGTCCTAAAGTAAAGCCTCCACCAAAGACAGTCTGAGCCAAGGTGTCAAATTGTTGGTCTGTCGGAGTTTGTGGAGTGCCCAGCGCAAAAGCCATCGCGCTGAAGGTATTGATATTCTGGGCCGTCAAGGCATTTCCAAAATTACCAGTCCGATCAAGCTCTGTGCACCTCTGTGCAAACGCTGCATTGCTCTCGACGAGTGACATGATGCGCAAACTCTGAAAACAAAACTCGAAAGAATGCACAGAACAAAACATACAATCTCTTCAGCTTGAAGTTTCTGGTTGTCCGTTGGTGTTTAGCAAACGATGGAGAAACGGTGGACTTAAAAATATGAGTGTTACATGCGTCCCCAAAATCGGAGTCTCACATGTCTGTCGATTGTGGATTGTTGTCGTGTTCAACTCTTTGCACTAACCTGCGGCTTGTGCCTCAGAGTCTCTCCACGCACACTCATCTCACAAATCAGCAATAAATGAAATGGATTTCACGCAATCTGCTTCTCTGCACATAACTTGACTTATCCAACTCACAACACTCGCAATCCGAGACTCTTTGGGTCTTTTTGGACTCTTGCTGTGTTTGAGTTTCAGCTAGTCGTGCAGTCTTGTGACATTGGTATTGGGCCTGTTGGTGCCTATGTTAGGCTCCACACAAACCCAATCCCCTGGTCGCGCCAATCAAGATTGGTGCTGGGCGTTCTTGGCTGCACATGCACGTCTCTCTCATCAAAATGATTTGACAAGCAACTCAAGCAAACCCCAAATCTGGAAATCATCTTAAAAATTTTACAGAGTGAGAAACGATTGAGCTGACATGTATGCAGTGCAAATGCAACGCTGGTTCCGACTCCAAAAGGCTGCCTGCCCTGTTTCGCATCCAGCAGTCATTGAGGTTCGATTGCACTGACAAGCTGAAAACACATTCATTCTCTGAAGAAACGAGTAGGATGAAAATTGCACAGTGTTGCAAGTCTGACTGCTTGGACTGAGCTCAGGTGTCTGACATGTTTTTTACTGTGACATCACTTGACACCCAAAACAACAGCCAATGACCATTGACACTATCGGCAAAAACAAAACTGAGCTTTTGCTGACTAAGTTCATCCACCGAGCGCAGGGCAGGGCCCAGCCACTGACGGTGATCGTGCCAGTCTAGCTGCCCCTGATGCCGGTTCATGCACAAGTGCTCACATCTCAATTCAACATGAAGTTAAAAAGGACATGACTGACAAGTACATTGACATGAGATGAAATTTGGCAGCACTACTGTAAAAGCACGACTCAAATCACCGTGAAAACATCACAACACTGCACTGACAAACTGTTTCTTGAATGGACATGCAATTTTTTTGTGAATTCAGCCTAAAATTTGGGTTCCCTTTTTTTTATCCAAAAATTGGAACCCAATTTTTTTGTGAATCCTGAGGTCGGCGCGAATGGAAAAAAAAGAAAACAGTTGAAACGAAACAAGGTCAGGCCAGTGCAAGTTATGAAACTTATTTGCAACCCTCCTTCTCGGACTGTTTCGCTTTTTTGAAACAAGCCCAGCAAACAGGAGAGTCAAAGCGGGGAGTTGATTCCAATCTATGATGAAAACTCCCAACTTGCCTACCGCAAACAAAAACCTTGATATAACCCTCAGCCGTCAAGTGAACTGTCTTCAACTTAGCATGCTGCCAGCGTGAGAAACCTGAAGGTGGTTCCGGAGGCGCATATACCTTGTTCAAACTGTGATCCTGAGGAATGCCCTGGTCAGATGAGCTTGAGTCGGAAGTGCTGTCAGACGACTGCGCAACATCTGCATCAATTGCTGCTTCGTCATCTGATGATTCAACCACTTCTACTTTCACTTTGCAAAGCTGGGGACCCGGCAACTCATCTGGTGACTCAACAATACGGCCACTGCGAGTGCTGTCGGGTCTGAACTTTCCTTTGACTATCTCATCAATCAAACGCTCCAAAAGCAAAAGGCTTGCAGCAGCTCCATCTCTAGAGTACACAAGCGACATCTGCATGTTTGATTAATGATATCCCAACATAAGTCTATCAGGAACAGGTAACCCACGCTTTGCTGCAAATGACAGCATGGTGCATTTGAGGCTGTGGCTGCTGACTCGGCGACCATCTTGGTTCCCTGCTGTTGGTGCAATCTCCAGCAGCTTTCGCAACCACTTACCACACTCTCCAGACTCCAACGGCCTTTCCGTGGCCTGTCCATGTTGATCCGGTGCCGAGCGTGTAACAACTCACCTGCCGAATGGACGCCAGGGTTGCGATGCAGCTTTTGGCGTGAGCCTGAGCGAACCAGCCTCTCGTGCAAATGTTTGTGGAAGAAGTGGGGCGTTTTTTGGCAAGCAGAACTGGCGATGAGGGATGAATTTAACGTTGGGCTAAGGTGCTCAAACGTTCCAGATGCCACAACAGGTTTTTCTTCATTTTGCCAGCAGAACGGTGGTCATGGAAGTCCAAAACATCTAAGGAGTGTGTAACAACTCACCTGCCGAATGGATGTTCCGCATCTTTGCTTCGATCCTCGAAAGGAAGCAGCCCGAGGGAATACATCTGAGTGTTGGTTGCTTGATTTTGATTTTCAGTACGGTGGTTTCACGTTGTGCAATTTTTCTTTGGCAACTCGGACCTGTTCAGTCGATGGTTTCATTTGTGGTGGACTGTTGTTTGAGACTGATTTGATTTTATTTCTCGACGTGGCGTAACCCGACGATTAGCGCGGCGAATATATATATATATGTCTATACATCTGAGTTTGCATGTCTCTTCATGATTGCGTAGTACGACGCGCGTTTGTGGAAGGCCCAGTACTGTTTGTTGGCAGGTGCAGCTGCTTAGTTGAAAGAAAAGCCGCAGGGGATCCCCTTGAACCCCTGCAGTCAATGTTGACATGCCGCGGACTTTTCAGAATAAATGTTTGATGTCTATCGAGGAGACCTCCCAGAATGAAAGCCTTTAATGTCTATTGATGTCTGTTCGATCGGTATTCAAACATTGACAAATTTCAACATTGACCGCAGGGGTCGCAGGGGATTGGGTGTGGTCACATTTTTCTAGGGGTCTCCAGCAAACGAAATGAGAACGCAGAAATAGATAAGATGGGACGGAATTAATTACATTAGCAGAAAAAGCGACTAGAAGAATGTAGACGTAGCTGACACAGCATGCTGTGGTGAATTGTGGCCCTTGATACCGTCAGTGCGCACGATGCTTCAGTACAGATCTTACGTCGATTTCGTGCAGAGCAAAGCTGCCCACACCACAAGATTAAAAGGCGTGCTGTGTGCCGTCATGCTTTTGGGTTCTCTGGCCCACCTTGCTTTTGTGACTTTAACGCTGACTGCAGGGGTGGCAGGGGACTTGGACTGGCCCAGATGTTATCATTGTAATGAGGAGCTGGAATGAAACATTTCGCCTGCAGCCATCCTGTGAAGGCTCCACCGACCTTTGCATGCTCTTCGAGAATATCCTTCACTATTTCCGATTGGTTACATTGTCTTTGCCGTGATGGGGCCATTTTTGGAATCGAAATATAGGCCCTATTTAGGGGTTCATGGTTTGTTCTGTGATAGTATCTTCAGCGGGGGTGTGCCACTCAGTGCATTGGAGGATCTTCTCAAGCGCGCAAGGCTGCGCCACACGGTTTGTTTGGTTCATTTTTTGCGGGGGTGCCTTTGCAGATGTAGGAAATAGGCTTTGGTGCCCCCGCCTTGTCAGGCGCCGTGCCTTTGGTGTCGGAGCGGCGCGGTGCTTTCAGGACTGTTTCACCAAAAATGCCACGGAACTTTTTTGGAACCATCCGGATTACTTGAGACTTGCATCCCTACTTGTGCTTTTTTGGCCATGTGCAGTTTTTGCCTCAAGAGCAGCATCCCTACTTGTGCTTTTCCATTTGGTGGCTTGGAGGCCTTGGATGAACCTGCCGCGAATGCCAAATGGCATTCAACACACAGTTGGTTTTTCCAATGGCTTCGGCAGCGGCAAGAGAAAGCGGCAAAGCCGCAGACTTTTCCCCGTTGGGCTGACATTGCCATGGTTGGAGAAGGTCCGTGCAGCCTACTTGATGTCTGGCTGCGACCTTGCAATCACTTTGTTTGCCGCCCAAAAATTCAGTGGCTTACGCCCAGAGGACGCTGACTACCCCACGCTGGACTTAGTGGAGGAAATAGCGGTCTCTGTGCCTCTTGATGCGAGTATCCGCGCCCGAGTTCGCAAGGAGGTGGCTGAAGTTTTGTTGGTCAAAGAGATTGAAAAGCTTAATCTTCGAGGAGTGGTTCCAAGTTTGGCGGATGTGTACGCCATGTACGAAGCATTTGAGCCGTCCAGTCGCTGCATTGGCTATCGTGGAAGAATTGCATGGGTGCAGCGCTTTCGCAAGCGCTGGGGTTTATATCGTCGAGCATGGTCGTGCCAACCTGAAATTGAAAAGGGCAAGGTGGGGCCTCAAATCTGGGGCCGCTGAGCGGCCCCAAAACTAGATCTTTTTTATGTAGGGGAACTAAAACTGGGGTCATTTTTGGGGGCCAGGAAGTGGGGTCGTTTTCGTTGTGCAGGTGGCAATTTTTTGGCAATGGTTGCAACATTTGCAACGCAGAACTACACTGGACCGAGCTTCTTTTGTTGAACTTAGACGAGACTTGCATGCGCTTTCCAGAGAAACCGCACGTGGGACTGGTAGCGTCCAAAGCTCGTGGTTGGACTTCCCATGCAGGGGCAAAGCTTCTGAGACGCGGCAGCGCAACATTCGTTGCTGTGCTTTGTGAAAATGAAGCCGTGCAAAAGTGCTTGCCTTCCTTTGTGCTTTGCAACAAGCACTTGTGCCCCAAAAAGCTTTACGAAGACTTACTTGCTGCAGCCCCACCTTCCTTATGTATATGGAGATTAGCTTCGTCGTGGAACACATCTGTTGTCATGTGTGAAATTTTGGAGGTGCTAGCAGCTGCTTTGAGGCCTTGGCAGCAGTTCGCCAGCCAACTCTGACCATGGACCTGGCTCCGTGCCACATCACGCAGTCCGTGCTGCAAAAGGCACGAAGCCTGCAACTCTTTATGGCTTGCGTGCCAACTGGTCTCACTCCTCAACTTCAGGTGGCAGATGTCTTTTGTTTCAGAGCCTTCAAGGCTTTTTTTGCTGGTGAAATTCAAAAGCTGCGGGCCGAGGGTCACGAAGTGACCAAAGCCTTGTTTTTCCAGATTTTTTTCAAAATGCCTGCTTGGCTGCAGGCACGTTCTTGGGCTAAAGCCTTTCAAGCCATTTGTGCACTTGATGGAAATATCAATCTTTTGACCAAGGACCTTCAAGCACTGGGCTTAGACCCGACAGTGCAGGACAGTTTGCCGACGCAATCCCAGATAGCCTCCCTCTGGCCGAGACAACGCTGTACAAGCAAAACATATTCCCTGCTGTTCACTCGTAATTTGGAGTGAAGATACAATGACAGAACGTTGCGGAGGTCTGAAAAAGGACCGTCAGACAGTTCAAAACATGGAGCCGTTTTGCTGGTGCCTGACCAGCATTTGTTCAGTGTGGAAACAGCTGCGCTGGCTAACTGTGCATGCCTGTTCAACGGCTCTGATTGAATTTGTAGAGACGAAAAACCCTGCTGTTGGGCCAGTAGTGACCCCACTGTGACCTCCATAGGCTCCATGGCTGACGGCGCGCATGATTTGGCAGCTGCGACCTCTATGGGCTCTATGGCTGACGGTGCCGCTGTGACCTCCTCCGTGGCTGCGCCTGTGATCTCTACTACTATGACTGACGTGCTGGGCGACCTTAAGCGGAGAAGGCAGGAGTTGAAAGCTTCGCTGAAAGACGTCAGCAAAACGCTGAAAAGCGAAAGCAAAAAGCAGAAGAGACTCATCGCCAAAGCTGGCCGATTGAGCAAAGAGGACTTGTTTTTTTGCTTTCACGCCAAACTCAGGCGAGTGTGTAGTCTTTTCAACCTTGGCTACATTGTAGTTTCTTCACTGGGGCGCCAGTTAGTGCGCACCGCTGGGGAACAGCAAAGCTTTGGTTTTCTTCACCTTAGCGCCGGTTAGTGCGCATGACAAAAGGTGTTAATGACTTTCAAGGTTGCATCAATGAACAGCAGCATCTGTGTTTGAAGGATCGATGTTCAACCTGTTGTATGACATAGTGTTTAGATGAGTAACTGACGTTCTGCAATGCGACGATGTTTAAGCTGCTTTTTTGCGAGGAACATCCCGCCCCATGAAGCGACCAGGATTTACTATCACAACGGAGGCCTGGCTTACTTCCTCCAGAAGCATTTCTAGTTTTGAGTGTTGTAAAGTTTTAGCGGGTCGGTAACGCTTGTCTGCTGTGCACGGACTCACTACTCTGATGGGGTCATTTGCTTGTCCTCGTTTCCCTTTATTTACTTATTTCCTCCTCTTCTCACGTGGAACAAAACAAAACATCATTGGAGATTGTGCAAATGATGATTTTTTATTTCGGGCAGTTTCGACCTTCATCTTTTGAGGGCTGAAGATGCCCTTGTGTGCCGGTGTCAATCAGATGCGCGGGCCAGCAGTGCAACTACTTTTGCGGCCACTTGGCAGGGAGATACCATTGAAGAGTGGCCCATTTTCACCGACATGTTGTCTTATTTGCCCGACGTTTGCATCAACGCTGAAATTGTGGTAGTAATGTGTGGGTGACATACCACAAAATGCTTCTTGTGACATGTCCATGTGCATTTTGACTGCGCAGGCTCGCACAAAATGCTTGCCTTGGAATACGGGTCCGGCATTTTCCCTGCAAATTTCCACACGAAATGCCTCTTATCACATGTCCATGTGCCTTTCGCCTGCGCGGGCTCGCGCAAAACGCTGGGGGACGTTTGCAGTTGACTTGTCAATAGCGGTTTATAGATAGGTTAAGCGTTGCGCTTGACCATTTGGACTTTGGTTTGGAGACCCGGCAGGCTTTCTGAAACAGAGTGTGCCACCCTGTCTGATTTCCCGCTCTTTGTTGGGACCTAGCACGTGACGCTTAGATCGGCTTG